CACAGTGATTGATTAAGGGTGATTGAAAAACGAACCTGATGCAGCACAGTCCTGATCAGAGGGCAGCAAAATTAAGAGAATCCAGATGTTTTTGTTTGTTTTTTCATATATTTGACCAGTCCTTCATCAAATGCCCAACATCATAGATATGCTGCCATTGATGCTGTGAAGCTCTTCAATGCTTAACCCAGGAGCCCAATATCCTACTATCACAATAATAACTTTAAATGCTGCATTAACGGATATAAAATATGTAAAAACATCCTTAAAATTAGCATATTTACCTTTAATTTGAGAGGGTTAATAAGATAATCTGCTGATCGAAAGAATGTGCTCTTAGAATGTGATAATTAGATTTTATCCACTTGAAATAAGATAGCGGCAGTATTTTATCTTATTTTAAACACATTCTTCTTAATCTGTTGTATTAGTATTCTGCCCAATTCAAGGAAAAATAGACTTATATAAAAAAATAGACTCATTTTGCTCTTGGAATATGATAATTAGATTTTATCCACTTGAAATAAGATAGCTGCATTATTTTATCCTATTTTAAACACATTTATCTCAATCTGTTGTCTTATTCTATCCAATTCAAGGAAAAATAGACTAAAAAAAAGAAATCTAAAAAAAAAAAGAGTTATTTTCATTTTCTTACGTGTAGATGTAATTTCAGTGTGATTTCTTAAAAAACTGGAAGCCTATTGTGTCATAAAACCCCCTTAAAGACCATCAATCCTTTACGTGAAGTAAAGCTCTGTGCAGCACTCTTAATGAGCAGATCTACTATCCAAAAACAAAGATATTTGTTCTCTCTCTCTCCAGGACAAAAGACAGGAATTATGTGTTTTTTGGTTTTTTTTATCAGAGGGCCCTGGCTTGAAAGTTCTTAAACTTTGTCCACAAACTATCAACTCCTTGTATGGTGGATCACAACTATTGTTTGACAAAACAAGAAGAAATGTAAAGTTTTGCATTACTGTGCAAATAAAAGCTGCAGTAGGACTTCCCAGGAATACAGCACTCAAGTAGATGAATAAACATAATCTTCTTTATTTGTCTTTGCAACTTAGTATATTCCATTGTCATCTTAGCAGTGGCCTGCCACTGTGCCGTGCCTGGGAAGCATTTTGAAGGCTAGTAGGGTCCTAAAGGGGCAATATGTGCAACTTAAACCCCCAAGGGAAACAGGCCTCCCTCCTCTAAACACAAGGCCACAACTCAGCCAGAAGTATGCAATGTTTGAGCCTGAATGAATTCTGTTCTCGCCTGCTTGAGTAAACAAACACATTTCTCTGTTCTTGTGAGGGGAATTAAACATCTGATGCATGTAGGTTTTTTTCCATTGTTAATTGCAGGTAGTGCTTTTGATTCCTTTTCACTTTTGTTTTGGTTCATCGGACAAGAGCCACAAAAAAAAAAAAATAAATAAATAAAAATGTTGGTCTGCCTATTAACTTTGTTTCAAATACTTTAAATGTCCTGAATTTTGGTTCATCCTCCATTTAAAAACTCCTGCTGATTACAACTATGGTAGTCTACTATTTACATTACTTATCTAGGTAAATAAAAGCGAACCAACTAGCTAGATAATGTTAATCCATGAACAAGCATTTTATTTTATGACTACTTCAATAAACTGATATGTTTCTATAAACAGTAGCATGTTACTGTCTTTTTTAATTATTGCCATGCTTAACATAGAGGGATACATTGAATAATCCTCCTAGCATAAATGCTTCTGTTTTTAAAATAGTTTTAAACACTGAGGACACAAATCTGGTCGAGAAAAGTGACACCGTGCAAAAACAAAACTTCTTTTATGAGTCATGTATTCAACAAGTAGTTTGCAAAATACAGACCACCATGTTTAGGTTTTAAAACAGAAAGGTCTTTAATCTCCCCAAACTTTGTATTTATTGACCAATTGACTGTGACTTGATTCAAAAATGTATGTGGGAAATCAGCAATAGCAAAAGTTGGTGTTACAGAGGCGACGTTTTTCTTTTTTTCACTGTTGCTGGGATTTAAAAACCCAAATGACTTGATGACGAATGACTTATGTTCAAAACTAAGGACTCAAATGTTCAGCTGCTGCCTAAAAGCAGCAGGATGCGCTTTGGTTTCTGTTACCGCACAGTGGAGCCCTGCGCTTCTGACCGTGACATTACGGGATGCTGAGCGGATAATGGGGTCTCCATGGTTGCAAATGTGACATTCTTGGACATTGATTCATTGACATGTTAAAGCTTTTTGACGCCAGGACCGCCGCCAGCAAGGTCACAAGGTCCGCCAGAGGGAGAGAAGTAAATGCAAGGACAAAGACGACAAAAATAATGGATACAAAACCTGAATGAAAAAAAAACAGATGATGTCACTGTTGTAGAGGGAGGACTCCTGAGGATGAAACAAAGGGCACAATATTTGACCAGGAGCTATTCATCACACTTGTTGTATATGTGTGTGTGTGTGTATGCGTGTGTGCATGTTGTAGGTTAATGTGTTTTTATCTGATCAAACATGCATAATTTCTCTACTTCATTGCCGACAGCAGTATATTATCCAGAGTAAAAGTTAACAGCCTCTGCTCATGCCAACCATTTGAAGTCGAGGCCTTAATGACTTCAAGATAAGAAGAAAGATGATGAAATTCTGATAAAATTTGCCTTTGAAACAGAATTCCCAGACAGACTTAAAGGCTAACTTCCTGTTCCCATTCATGTCCATCCAATTCATTTATTTAGTGATTCCTTTCTGTTTCCTCTTTTTTTTAAATTCAATTTTACTCATTTTTAAAACAAAACCATCCAAGGTGTTTTCTAAATATCTTTTATCTCCTTTCCTCTTCACTCAAAATACATTTGCCGTTTACCAAGTTAAAGTGTACTTATTAAGGAAGAGCTGAACGAGAAGCCCGGGTACTGCTGGCAGCTTAAACAGAAGCAAAGACAGAAACTGGAAAAGTCCTTATAATTATTATTATTATCAGCAGTCTCTTATTATTATATTCTTAATTATTATTACTAGTATAAGTGGTGTTAAGATAAAATAAAGTTCCTTGGCCCTTGTTGATGCAGAGAGAGAGGTTGCATACTACAACAGTCGAGCACTGCTTCCATGCTGCCCTTCATCCCAGAGATCCAGTTGGACTTAAATCCATCAGTCCAGAGGTAAAGGGGGGATCAGTATTGCACTTACAGTAAAAGTATTCTTCTGAATATTCCTTTGCAGGTGAATTGAAGGTTCCAGCCGCATTCAAAAACATTTATATCCAAATTTATTCCATTAGGGATTCCATGTTTGGTTCCTGGGAAAGAGGCTTTTGAGTTGAAGGCGAAAAAAAAAGCAGTTTCCTCTCCAGAATGTTGCAGGAGCTCTTTGTAAAACCAGCATTTGTTTGAAATTTCCAGAGTAATGCAGGACTTTTTGTAGCTTTGATAAATAAAATCCTTCGGTCTCATTGGAAAATGTCAATGGGAACAGTTTGTCCTGACTCAGTAAAACTGCTTGAAGATAAATTTTTCAGTTTTTAATTTACCCCAAATTAAATCTGCATTTGTCATCTTATAATCAAAAGTGCCACCTGTACTGACAAAATACATCAACCTATATGGTGTGATCAAGCTTTTTATCCTTCTTAGACAAAGGTCATGAGACAGTTATATATACTCCATCAATGTCACATTGACTTGAGTTATTGAACTATTTGGGTTATAAAAAAGTTCCTAAGTCCCATTGATTCTTAATTTTTCAAACAGACCAGTTCTCTGTCCTGTCATTCGGACCGTGACCTGAATCCATGTTTGTATAATAAGTAATTATTATAACTAATAATTAGTCAAATTTAGCTGTTCTTGTTAGTGTTTCATCACTCATTTCTCTTTCTCATTGTAGTTTCAGTTTAAATAGATAACAGGAGGTATTTTAGGCTTCTCTAACTGTAGCTTAAATGAGATGTGACAGTTTTATTTTGTAGTAGATAGCTACCTCAGCAGAATGAGCGAGTTAGGCATTGTCTGGATGACCATCAATCACCTATTTGTCCAGGAACCACAAAGCTTTCCTAAAACAGAAATGCGTTTGGATCTCTACTGAATAAACAATTGAAAATAAGATTTTCTATCATGGATTATTAAAAAATTATAGTAAACTATATCCTGTAAAATGGTTATAACATAATATCTAAAAAGACATTTATATCCTTATCAAAATGTAGAACTATAAAATATTTATTTGTATTGAATTATTACCTAATTTCCTAGACAATATTATTCTGCTAATCTGTTAACTACTTTCATAATTAATTTGTGATGATTTAGTAGAAGATTTTATATTGGAGTCATTAATGTACTTACACTGTCAAAGTGTCATCTGCTGCATTGACGGTGGAAGTACATGGACAGAGCTTTCCGGACTTTCCAGCATTTGACTCACAAAATGGTACCAGAGCCGACCCATGACCCAAACTACTGGTTAAGTTTAATTCCTCCATTTTTGATTTTGCTAGAGGACAAAAAATTAATATTGAATTTATGGTAGGTTAAAGCTACAGTGTGTAACTTTTAGCAACATCTAGCGGTCAGACTGCAGCAACATGAACATCTCCCCCCCAACAGTACGGCGAGCGTTACAGGACAAAATGTCTTCCACGACGTCCGCATCACCTACCTTCTCAAGTGATGAGGTTTGTTTACATAGATAATTTTACAGATAGTATTTCATTAGTCTGTGTAGGGTATAGATTTCATGTAGACTTAAGATAATAAATATACCCGTTATTTTTTCTACATCGTTGTGACGTTTTGGCGATCTCGTAATCGCTGGTTTGTTGGCTCTGCGCTGCCGTAGCGCAAAGATGTCTGCCTCCATGGCTGCGAGACCCGCTCCTATGTAATTATAAATAACGAATTCTAAGGCAACGCAAATATTAAGGTTAAGAGGCTGAGCTCGTAGATGATGATAAATAACATAGTTATGTATAATATATTACATTTCTGACTGTATATCCCTGTAATTATTACACACTGTAGCTTTAAATAGCTCCCATTTACTGATGTCTAATTGACATCTACTGATGTAAAATAGCTACCAATCGATTTCTTAGCAGCTGGCAAACAAAGAGGCAATTTCATTTATCAACAAGCTAATTAGGTAGGTAAACATATGGATACTTACTTAAATGACAATCTGTATCCTTTGGTTGATATTAGATTAGTTCAGCTAGCTGTTTTTTAGTGGAATGATTTTGATTCATTAGCTCCAAACGAATCTCTTCAAATAAATAAAAAGTATTTTAAACTGTGTTATGCCAAAGGGACAATTTGAGGTTTAATACTTGCAATAAAGAGTTTGTTAGTTAGTGGCGAGAGGTATGGCATTAGTTTATAAGCTCAATTTATGAAACCATCCAAGCTAATCAAAAACCTGCTATTTATTCACCAATTTGATTACAATGGCTTAGTAAATCACAAATCAATATTACATCACTAATCTACATATATTGAAAATATGCTAACCTAAATTAGATACTATAATTTTGCAACTTTAGCTGGCTATTCTATGTTGGATTTTTACTAACTTTGGTCACAGATCCATTGGTCTGAAGCAGGTCATTCTCAAAAATCTAGTTGATCAGAGCCCTTAGATAGTTAAATCAACAACATTGGACAAAAGCATTTCCCATGTCACCTGAAAAATCCCTACTTTGCATCAAACTGAATCCATAAACATCTGCTATATTGGATCCTTCTTCCAATCACAGCTGGGAAGGTTAAAGCTCACATAAATCCAGAATTAATCATGCAGAGATCCAAAAACTCCATAGGGTCCATGCTCCTCTCTCTCTGTATCGTGCCATCTTTGTATGTATTCAGCAAATAGCCAAACAAAAAAACAGTTTCAGCAATTTCCTATAGCTGCGTGGTGACAGAGTCCTCTATGACATCACAGCTGTCCTCTAAGACATCGTCGCACGGCCCTACCCACCCTCCCATCATCATCATCCCCCCTCCACCTCCTCGATCAATGCCACCTTCTCCTGCTCCTTCTATGCCTTCCACCTGGAAAACGTCCTCACTGGAGTCCAGGAGTCTTGAGCTGGACTCAGACATGTTGGAAGCACAGTGCAGGGATTGGCAAGGGCATGGGGGCGGTAGGGGCAGCGTTAGAAGGGAGTCCCGCCCATTGGTTCTGAGCGGTGAGTATGATGTACTGTCCGCTGAGCGACCCACCTCATTCAGGTGAGAATCGCTTCTTGTAACATCGCTGAGTCCAAAGTCGGAATGAGTGTGGCTCCCGAGGGGACGGAGAAGACCATCAGAAATTGTGTATGAAGGCGGAGACTGGAGAGGGAGTGGTGTTGGTGGAGCTTTGCGTTTGGAACGGGAAAACAAGTATGAGAGGCGTTTAAAAGAGTCTGTCTTTGCACTCGGACCTGAGAGGCGCTGCAGGCGGCTTCTTGTGCGAGCAAGTGATGACGTTAACGTTGAGGAAAAGGATGAAGACGGCGAGGGGAGAGCATTGGTGGAGGTCTGTGGCATCATAGCTGTCTTTAGCCCATTGCTCTTTGGTTTCCCATCTTCTTCCTCCTCTTCTCCCCATCCCACTTTGTCCTCTAGACTCCCCTCCTCTTCTTTGTCTATCTGTGTCAACCCTGAAATGGAGCGCACCAGCGCAGACACACCAAGCGTCGGTGCTGGCCTCACGTCGTCCTCCACTGGGTTGGAGAAGGTGACACTTTTAGTCTTCTGGACTCCAACTCCTGCTGCGGTACAGTCACCTGGCTCACTATCATCCTCTGATACCATCGCACCATCGTCTCTTGTCGTCTCACTGGAGGAAGAGTAATGCCGCCGGGGAGGACGTCGGTTGCCGAGGAGATCCAGCACTTCGTAGCGGAAACTGGAGATATCCTGCTTCAATTCCTGCAAAGAGAGTGCACAAATTGGTTGATGATACATTGTTTAAAATGTTAAACACCATTTTTTTTTTTTTTTTGATGAGCCAATTTAAAGCTTGTAATGAAAGAAAAAAACAGGGGAGAAGAAGGTCAGGAGGCTAAGTGTTAGGAGCTGATCATAGCCTAAAAGAGGGATTAATAAACCACATGTACATCAGCACAGGATGAAGAGGAGAAAAAGTGCTTCAGCAATAAAAAGAGAAAAAACTCAATCTCCTAGAGTACCAAGCTATGTTTGGGTATTATAAATATCATTGCACAAAAACAGACAACATTGTGATAATTTATTAAAGAACAATGAACCCAAATTGCAAGAGCTGCATCTGAAAAACCATAGTACATACTATAAATATATGAATCACTAATTTAAAACAAACCTTTAAAGTATTGGTTTGATATATGTTGATGTGAGAATTTTCTATTGCAATGACTCGATTTTTCCCTAGATTTGCTGTTGATGAATGAGTTTGTGCCATGTGATGATGGCCTTGTGTTTTAATCTACAAAGCGGTTTTAGAAGAGATCAGTATTGAATCTTTTGCTGCAAAGAGCCTGGTTCCTGTGTCTGCAAAACAAGCCCATATCATAACGCTCCACCATTGTGTTTGGTCGGCAATATTTTTGCTGCTTTGCTTGCGTCCTCAAAACATCAGAAGGATTTCAGTCCAGTTGTGTTCAGTCTTTTTAAAATTTTCAAGCTTTGTGCTTTCTTCTGGTTTTAAATTACAGAGATGACTTTAACCAGCCCTTTTTTATTTTGGGTCTTCATGCTGTCGTTACTGTATAATTTGTGTCACATAGGAAACTGAGGATTTCAGTTTAGACATTCATATAGAAAAGACGATCTGGTTTCAGTTTAACTTAGAGTCTTCGAAGGTTTAGTTTATATTTACAGAAATGCAACAAACATTTCATACATGCTCTTTAGGAATATAACAGCCCACAAAACCCATTTCAGTACATATTTGGGTTTTTAAAGTACTAAACGTGCTGAGTATGCTCTAATCTAGACATTGGATTGTTGTTTTTTTTTGTTGTTGGGGGGGCTCAGCAATAATTAGGATATGTAAAAAAAACACTTATTTTCAATTTAGTGTGATGTAAAACTTAAAAAAAGCTGAAAGCATAGACCTACATTGAAGGTATAGAACTACATTAAAGATATGCAGAACCCTGTACCCACTCCGAGAGGGAACTACTACTAAATGCATGCACGAGCGTGCACGAGCCCATTTCTCCTTGTGCACGCTCAGTTCAAAAGTTGATGTTTGCATCACTCAAACAAGCTTACTATCCAAAAGAAGATTTGCAATTTTTCCACTCTGTCAGACTCAGCACCGTTAAGTGAAAATGGGGACGAGCACGTAGGACGGCCTTACCTAAACATATCACCAGAATGATTGACAATTAGGAGGACCAAGACCACTTATTTTGATCATCCACCCAGGAAAAAAAGAACATTCTTCACTATACCTTTAAGTGGAAATTAGGTTTGGGCTTCTTCAAATAACAAAACAGGAATCTAAGGAGGCATAGCACATGCCTGAATAGATACAATTAAAATATTAAGCAATAAAAACTTGAGAATGGTCAATATTAATATATAAAATATATAGAAAACACTGTGCCCATATTTGGCAATTAAATGTTAAATTTTAGATTTTTTTTTTACATTTTTACAAATTTGCGTCCAAGCTTATCCTAAATGTATAAACAGGAAGCTATAAAAAAATCTTTGGTTTGGTTCACTTTTCTTTCTCAACTGCATCGACATAGGTAACCTTAATGTTCCTAAATAGTAGCGCTCATTCATAGCTAGGAGTTATCTATGTTTTATTTTGGCATCATGTTCTAAAGTTGTACAACAAAATGATGTATTTAGCACTTTATTCTGCACACTCTGTTTAGATATAAAAGAATGCTGTATTAATTCGATACACTTGCTCATCAAACCAAGAAGGCTTTACATGAGGATACCACTAATACTCTCACTGTTTAATTTATGTCTCACTATTTTCTTTAGAAAAACTGATACTTATAGTCGTTAAAACACTACAGATGTAAAATATCAGGTAACAGCTACTTCATAGTTCAAGAGTAACAGATAAACATTGTCTAACATTGTGTAATTTCTCTGAGAACATCTTATTTACACAGTAAGACACACAAACTCTATAGTCTCAGTCTGTTTTGGACCAACAGACGTGTGTGTGCTTGAACATGTAGGTAACACACTCCAGGAGAGAAAAGAAACTCAGTTCAATGTACATGTGATGTTGCGTTTGTGCTGAAAAGCCCAAAGCAACTTTCTACTTCAAAGCAGCTTAGGGCTGGCTTCCAACGGCATCATGGGAAATCTACTGAGGAGGTAGAAATGCTCCAAAAAGAGACTCAACAGAAGATTTTTGACAGGAAAAATCTTTAAAAAAAACATGGACATCTAGCTTTTACAGAAAGTCCTATCGTACATTTTCAAATAAAAGGAGGCCTTGTCATTTATGGTATTTCAATAAAACGTCCACTGTTTATTGATTAATTTTCTCCGCAGCAGCATTTAATGCTAACATTCGTTTCCTCAGACTCACCTTAAAGTTTTCCTCTGTCAGCCCCTCATCTGTTTTGGCGCTCCGTATCATGGCCGCCACATATCTCTTCACCAGGTTTCGAATCACTTCCTATTGACAAAAGTTTGATAGATTACTACAATAAGCTGTGCTTTTAGTTTTATGCATATACAATACAATGGTACCAAACACACATCCACACCTTAAATTTACTTCTATCTTCCTAATTTGACTCACATTGTTCTCTAACAAAGCACTGTGACTTCTAGAGACATTTTGGTTGTGATATAAATTGATGGATGGATGAATGGTTGGATGGATGGATGGATGGATGGATGGTTGTATGGATGGATGGATGGATGGACATTTTCTAACTTTTGGGACAATGTCGTCTGATAAAGAGTACATTTATATACATGTTTAAGCCAGAATGATTTGGCATTTAAATATGACTTCCTCACAACTTTAAAGACAATGAAAATGAATAAATGATTGTTTGAAGTTAACAGTCTATCACTGTCTCAGTTATATGCAAAAAGACATTCAACAGCTCATCTATTTAAGGTTCTTGATATTTAAAATGTCATCAACACTAAATACCAGAACACTTCTTTAACTGCTCTTGTCTCATTAACTAATCAGCCAGAGATGTGGGTCAGTCTCATTGATTTACCAACCATAGAATAAAAACAAAAACTCACAAGCATTTGGTGCTGAGTGGGTGGTGATTCAAAACCTGATACACACACTAACACACAGGCAACGGCCCACAGTCAACACTTGTGAGTGCCAAAACAGGACGGTCTGGCATGCTGTCACTCAGCACCTCTGCCAAAAGCATACCACACACTCTGCTAATGTGCAGCACACATTCCCACAACAAGCCTTTTAAAAGCATGGGTGGATATCAAAGGAACAATCAGCAGTGCCAAATACAAAGTACTGGCTCCTCATTACAGACACTCCTGCTTCGGAAGATTTGTTGCACAGTTACTTGACAAAAAATGCCTAAAACTGAACATAGAAATGACAGATTCAGCTGCCAGAAATAACACACAGTGTTCTCTTATCAACACAAGAGCTCAACTCTGCAAAAACTGCTCCCTCTGAGCTGATTAAACATTAAAGCTAATCAATTATCTCATGCTGGTGCAACTTTTAATATTCCTAAAAATGTGAAGAAAAAGCTGTGGCAAAATTTTGGAATTTTACAGAATAATGTTGTTTGTGTGAATTAACAAAATATTTTAAGAATAAATATAAACTGCATGAGTTTAAGTAGATGGATGGATGATTATATTCCAGGTATTTAGTTGGGGAAGCAACAGAGAAAGAACATCCATTGGAGCCCTCTAGCGGTATGGTTAAGAAATTATCCAGTTGTTATCAACTCTACTTTGTCCTGTGCACAGATCATCGTGTTCATAATGATCATGTTATTGCAAGAATGTTTTCCTTGGATTTCTGTCCTATCCTGCATTACAATAAAGGTTTACTCTATATGATAAATTTTTTCACTAAGTGGGAAAAAATACAAAATAAATGACTTCTTTAAAAGGGCTTGAACATAAAGGGAATGAAAAAAAAAACAAAACAATCCAAATGGTTAAACCCCCAACATCTACCAATCTGTGTGAAGGAAGTGAAAAAAAAACACATAAATAAAAACCCAATTGTATTTGGAGCTTATTAAACAATATACTTTTTGAATGGAATTCAGCTGCACTAAACAACTTTTGATTCGAGCACAAAATTAACGCTTTTTTAAGATATAGGATGGGTTATATCCGCAAAAGCCGATTTTAACTCCCTCATTCTGTATTCATGAGCACATTTGAACAGAAACACTAGTACACACGTACAGTGAAGTGAGAAGCAAGATGAGGTCATAAGAACCAAACTTTTTTGTTAAAGTTCTATTTTGAATGCAGCTACTTTATAAACAGTTTTTGCTAACATTTGTTAAATGTTTAATGATTTAATCTGTTTGAAATAAATAACTAGAGTAAAAAAAAGGAGTAATATTCCATTAAAAGGGACAATCTTAATGATTTGGTGCATAAAGTATACCTGAAGCTAAAGACATGATATTAAATTAAACAGTGTCACGTTTTTCTTCCATCAACCCACTTCTTACCAGCTGACTGGTTTACAATGCTTTCATTTTAAGTGCAATCCCAACATGTGGTCACCTGAAGAGTAATTAATTTAGTGTCAGTCTTCTCTTTCTCCCCAAACAAAAGGCAATTACCTCAGTTGGAGAAGCCTAATCCTGTTAACTAATTGTGTTTACTTTCACTTAGACCGTAAAACAGAGATTATGGTCCTTCAAAATGTATTTATCGCTAAAAAAACAGTAAAAAAAAAGAGTTTCTGCACCACTGAGGCAAAGAAAGTAAAGTGAAGGAAGCTGTGGTGAAGACAAACGAAAATGATCCCCTTTGTTTCATTTCTAAAGCTCCTGAAAACAGACCTGACTACAGTGTCAGAGTGAATCAAAATGCTGCTAAAGTCTGATAATGTCTGCATGACTCTGATTTTTTTTTTGCTTTAAGTGTCAGCATTAATAGACACTTTAATGCTTGAGGATACAAATCGTCTTGTTAAAGCTATAGTTCTGTGTCTGTCTGGTTTAGTCGTAACAAGTTAGACTCTAGGCTTCAGTAGAAAAGCAAAAAAAGCCACAAGGCAGCATCTGACTTACTATTAAAAACTAGTACTCAGTGGTGGGCTTTGAGGGCCTTCAAGGCCTGCTGGCCTAAACGCAATCAGACTAACCTACATTCAAAACCTAAACTTTAATTTTCTTCTTTACAACTGTATTAATTTATTCCAAACAATCCATTCTCTTAATTTTGTAGCACTCGTCTTGGCTTCTATTAGATTTATGTGTTTGCTACATGTTTTGTCCAATCCGATTTTAGCCTGTGTGCGTTGCTATGTCAATGAAATCTACCAGGGCCTTCAGATTCAGCAGTGCAGGCTGATCTTACACCTTAACAATATTCGTGAGGAACGTTTTCTTCCACTCATACATTTAAATTTTTCTGTCTTCTGATTGGTCAGTTAGAGCAAATAGGTTACAGCCAAGTTAAGCAATTCACTTTTGTTAAAGGTTTTTTTGGGCTGAATGGCTGATACTAAATGGAGATACTAAGACTTTCTTCACAAAGACAGAAAGATGGATTTTGTTTATAAATAATCAGCATTTCTGGTGAGTGACATATTTTATTTTCATGCTTTATGTGTATATTATCTCGTATTTAGATGCATATTGAATCTGAACGGCTACTGATGATATAAATGTTGCAGAGTTTCACAGGATAAGAAATAGATTAAATTGAGAGGGTGGTCCTTATGCACCCCCTGCCACTACATTGTAATTAAGATTTATTCCAGGAAACGTGTTTTGATACTTAATGAATTCCGGTTAAATCTTCCTGGTTGACAAGCTAAAAATATCTTTCATGTATCTTACGCTATACAGCTACAGTATATTTATAAAAAAACATTTTTTAGGACAAATTGTTTTGAAAGCTAGTGTGTATATTGTTCAAAAGTAAATAGCTTTAAAGCCTGAACCTGCTGACTGTTTTTAAAGAATAAATTATATTTTTTAATTTAATTAACTTTGAGATTTGCTTATGCTGAGCTGGCATAAGCAAATCTCAAAATTAGTAGTTTTAAACACCAGAGACTGGCAGTCCACGAACAAGAGCCTCTGTTGCAAATTGTTCCAAAGACACTGTAAGGTGCTCGCTGCTCTTTAAAGGGTTATGGGTAAAATGAAGGTAAAATGAAAAAAAAAATAATATATGATGATATTTATTATTTATATATATATATAATATATAAAAAATCATAAAAAAAATCCAGTGGGAATTACCTAATACGTCATAACATTGTCGATTGAGTGGCTGATTTGATAACATCAGTTACAATTGGAAGGGGGGCTATGACAGAGGTAGTCAAGGCAGTTTTAATGTGCTGAAGAAGGTTTCATCATATATCTATTAATCTGCTGATGGATGGATGGATGGATGGATGGATGGATGGATGGATGGATGGATGGATGGATGGATGGATGGATGGATGGATGGATGGATGGA